CGGTGATCCTCTCTTCCAGGCATAAATTGAACTCACCCACTTGCTTAGCCTCTACAGCTGCTGTGTATTCGCGACTGAAACTGAGCTCTGTGATAGCCACATCATCCAGGATGAGGCTGAAATCCTTGGCTCTCTCTGTCAGTTCTCGCCTAATGAGCAGAGACACCTGAAACACAAACACAGCAAAAAAAAGTATCAAACACAGGCTCATTCTCACTTCCTGTGCAGCCCAAAAGTGAAGCACAACTGCGCTTCTCAGTTCATTCACATTGGGCCCAAGAAAGACACTACGTAAAGCAAACCTTAAATCATGAACATTAATACCATCTCTGAATGTCACCTCTAAGTAACGCTGCATATCCACAGCTACACACAGCATTTTCAAAAGTAAATCACAGCTTATTTACAGTTATTACTTAACTATACTATACAAATAGCATTACAAAAATAAAAAACTTGAAAGTTTTTTTTGCTTTCACATCCTATCGCATCTAGTCCCACAGTTCCCACAATTGTTTCAGTAATAAGTATTTCTACGAATTTGACAGTTTGGCTGTCTCCTCTTCGTATGCAGCTTAAGAAAGTAAAAATAACCATTCTGCACTGCTACATGTTGTAGACCTATCACGCCTCTTAATTACTGTAGCTACTCATCTAGCATGGCTACTTTCCTTTTTTTAGTCTCTTTCGATGAGTGGTGTTGGTACATTTTTTTTTTTATTCTACTAATTTCTGAGTTGCCTTTAACTTGCCAATATCTCTTTCAGGCAGGCTGACAAGTCCTGCACCAAATATTGACTTAAATAGAAATTATTACTACCGTATCACATCCTTGATATTTGCTTTTGCTTTTACATTTACTGCAGCTGTTTCTCAGCAGAATTCTAAAACGATGCCAGAATCCTTTACTGCGTGAACTGTGAGCACATAACTACATAAAGTCACTTAATTTTCTTCTGATTATCAACCACTTCAATACACGCCACTTTACAGTAATTAATAGATGACAAGAAAGCAAATACAATTGAGTTTGTTCTGAAATTTCAGAGATACCCCACTGTCAGTTTTGCTTCTGATAAACCTAAATCCCTTGCAAACATTGCTTTTTTACTGTCACATCCTTCCTTTCCACCTTCTCTTTATACAAGACCATTAACAAATCCTTTCAGTGCACACCATGTGGCCTAGCACAAAACTCTGAAGTTCCTATTGCAGATCATTTCTCACGAGACGTGGACACTTAGTTCTACTCTTTGCTTTTTTGTCATGGATCAGAAACTAGTTAAGAGATGCTTTGTATTTCATCTTTCTGACAACTCTTTAGCAGTCTCATGCAGGATCTCCCCATAAGCCTTCTAAAAGAAGATCAGCAAATTCTCTCTCCCTCATCTGCTTTAGGAAACAGCTACTCTCGGAATCCCTGGCAATTAGGTTATCACAACACAAGCTTTCAGGGGTAGGCTTTTTAAAGCTAAATATTTCTATGATTTTGCCACCCCTCCAGATTACTTTCTAATTTTTTCCTAAAAACAAATATTTGCTACCCTTCTGTAGCATCCATAACTGAAACTTTACTGTTTGTTAACTGCTCACTCACTTTGCTTTTCAGATCCTTCAAAACTGTTTAATTTGCTCCGACAGTTCTTCTGCGACCCAGGAAGCGACAGGTAATTTTTTCAAAGCCAGTTCTACTGTTGTGTATGGACTATGATGGGCTCCTTCCCCCATCACTACATTATGGTGTAGTTTTGCACGCTATATACCAATGAATCCAGCTGTCTTCACAGAAGCTAGTGGTACAGCCTTAGTGTTTGTATCTGTATCGGAGTCAAACTATAAGTGGGATGCAGTTCCATACCCCTTCCATTTGGATGCACCATCTACCAGCCTAATGTATCTATCCTTCATCTGTTATAACATCCCCCATATGCACAGTTTAGTTGTTTCTTTGCAGCGTGAGTATAATTCTCCCCCAGAAGAGCTCACCTGGGCTCTCTGCGTGATGAGCTGGGAAGCGTTAAACTTGGCTACCACGCTCTTGAGCACTTCGTTAACGATGGAAGGCAGGACTCGCTCCTCGTAGTCCAGGCCCAGGCGCTGGTACATGCTGGGCAGCTCCGCGGCATTGGGGCGTGTGAGAACGCGCAGGGAAATGTTCACCATCTGCAAATCTGAAGAGGAGAAAGAGACACCAGCAGGGTCGGCGCTGCGGCCGGACTCCTGTCCCCCTCCTCCCCCTCCCCACAGGCGCCGCCTGGGCCTCGTGCTCCGGCCTGCGGGGCCTCTCTCACCTTTGGAGCCGGTGGGGGAGGAGATTTTCCGCGGCCGGGCTCGAATGTCGTAGATGATGGGGTACTGGAACCAGGGGATCCTGCGAGGGGCGGGAGGGCCGTTACTAACGCGGGGAGGTAGGGCCGGGGCCGGGCTCCGGGCGGGGGGGTGGAGCTGTGCCTTACCTGAAGTGCAGCCCCTCGGCGAGGAAGGAGTCCTGCTTGTCGGCCTCGCACCCGTT